CCTTTAGATGTTTGTTCCTGGTTTTACCTCAATGTTATTTGACCTTGATCGCTATCCTTTAGATGTTTGTTCCTGGTTTTTACTCAGTGTTATTTGACCTTGATCGCTATCCTTTAGATGTTTGTTCCTGGATTTTACCTTAGTGTTATTTGACCTTGATCGCTATCCTTTGGATGTTTGTTCCTGGTTTTTACCTCAGTGTTATTTGACCTTGATCGCTATCCTTTAGATGTTTGTTCCTGGTTTTTACTCAGTGTTATTTGACCTTGATCGCTATCCTTTAGATGTTTGTTCCTGGATTTTACCTTAGTGTTATTTGACCTTGATCGCTATCCTTTGGATGTTTGTTCCTGGTTTTTACCTCAGTGTTATTTGACCTTGATCGCTATCCTTTAGATGTTTGTTCCTGGTTTTACCTCAGTGTTATTTGACCTTGATTGCTAGCCTTTGGATGTTTGTTCCTGGTTTTTACCTCAACGTTATTTGACCTTGATCGCTATCCTTTGGATGTTCATTCTCCTTACTTTCACACAGAATGCTACTGCAAAACCTAACTTCCTTTTCTTGTTATAGCATTGCGCTTTTATTTTTTATTAGTAACCATTAAATCTTTAATTAAATGCCATAAATATTCCGTTTAACTTTTCAAAGAATATTCCTTCTGTATCATGCGAAAGTTATGTGAGAAAATCCTGATATAATTAATAACCAGTTTTTGCGTTATCAGCCGTATTGGTGAGATCTCCATATTTTACAGAGGTCAATCTTCTGCTCCTACAAGGTGACCATCAATATTACTGCTTGTGACTTTAAAAAAAGTTTGCTCAAATATTTCTTACTTCAGTAAGGTTCACATTAATACTGCCCTAACTTCAGTTAAGTTTAGCACTAATATTAGTTAAACTTCAGTTAAGGTTATCAATAATACTGCTTTAACTCCAGTTAAGGTTATCAATAATACTGCTTTAACTCCAGTTAAGGTTAGCAATAATGCTGCCCTCACACCAGTTAAGTTTAGCACTAATATTAGTTAAACTTAAGTTAAGGTTAGCAATAATACTTCTCTCACTCCATTTTAGGTTAGCAGCAATGCTGGTTTTCACTGATACTGGGATTACATAGCCAAGGGCATTTTTAAAGTGCTATCTCACTGAAATATCATAACCTGGACATGGTAGCTTGATGCTTCTTCCTGTCAAATCATACTGATAATGAGCAAACCACAGGTGTCAAGGGAGACAACATTAAAGTAAAGGACAGATATGATAGAACAGAAAGACAGTGGTCTGAAGGGTTGCAATATCGCTGAAGAAGAGTATATATATATATTGACCAATCTATGTATATATAAGTTGATGAGTCTAGACCTGACTGTATTCCTCTTCAAGTCTAAACAAATTAATCTGCCTTCCCCTGACAATGGTCCAGTACTTGTACTTGATCCCTTCAACAATGTGTGGAGGGGGTGTGGATGGAGTGTGGAGGGGAAGGGTGTGATGACAAAGTTGATAGGAAGATGCTGGGGAGGTGGGAGGAGGAGTTGAATATATGGAAAAGAGGTTACTACAGTGGCTAAGTAATTGTACCACTGTTATAACTGTAGTAGAGGAGGTAGAAGTGGGGTTGGGTAGGCAGTCCTTAGCTGAGGAGGAGGAGGAGGAGGAGGAGGAGGAGGAGGAGGAG